TCACGACCACAAGCAGTGAGGAAGTCCCAGCAATCTGCCTGACGGCTTCCGCTGCAGCGCGAAGCGCGCTCTGGAAGTCATCTGCTTCAGCCGCACGCGTGCGGAGCAGCAGTCGTCGCCGTGGGCAGGCTCGGCGGCGGCGGCGGCGAGTGAGACGCCAGAGGACGAGGCGGCGGGCGAGGACGGCGAGGCGAGGCAGGAAGGCCGGGAGGAGGGCGGCGACCATACCGCGAGGAGGTGACCAGGGAGGCAGAGGGGGACCCAGAGGAGGACGAGGCGGAGGAGGACACGGAGGAGGAGGAGATGGCGGCGGCGGCGGAGGGCGAGGCAAGAGGCGGACAGGCCGGCGGCGAAGGTGGAAGCCGGCCTGCCGCGCGGGTCGCGGGCTGCGGGCCCGGGCGGCGGGGAGGCGACCAGGCAGGCAGGAGGAGCGCGGCCGGGGGGCTCCAGGCGGGTCGTCGGGGGGGGGGGCGTCCGCGGAGTTGTCCCGAAGGAGGCGCTGGATGGAGGAGAGGGGGGCGGAGGAGGACGAGGCAGGAGGGCGGGGACGCGACGGCAGAAAGGGACGCCGAAGGACGCCCTGTCGGAGCGGGGGGGCGACGGCCAAGAGGAGGAAGAGGCGGCGGAGGAGGCGGCGGCGCTGGAGGACGCAACGGAGGCGGAGGTTCCTCCGACAAGGCCTCCAGGGACGAGTTCTGAGGGACGCCCCGGGCCCGCGAGACTGCTGTTTCTTCTGCTGCGGGGAGGTCTCGTGCGAAACGGCTGGGCCGCCCTACCGGCACGTCTGATGTGGGGGGCTGCTGAGAATGAAGAAGGAGTGAGGAAGGAGGAGGAGGTCGGAGGAGGAGGAGGGCGGAGGAGGAGGAGGGCGAAGGAGGAGGAGGAGGGGACGAGGAGGAGGAGGAGGAGGGGGAGGAGGAGGAGGAGGAGGAGGAGGAGGAGGAGGAGGAGGAGGAGGAGGAGGAGGAGGAGGAGGAGGAGGAGGAGGAGGAGGAGGAGGAGGGCGAAGGCGAAGGTGCAGTCGCGGCGCCCGCGGGCGCAGCAAGGGCAGCGGGCGCGCGGGCTGCGCGCGGGGAGGGGCGCCGCGCGGAGGCGCGAGCGAGAGAGAGAGGGAGAGGGAGAGAGAGAGAGAGAGAGAGAGAGAGAGACAGAGAGAGAGCGAGGGGAGGAGCAGGAGCGGAAGCGAGGGGCGGCTCGTCGAGAAGCCAGCGCCCCGTGGGCCTGCCGGGCAGGCGAGCAACGGGCTCGGAGGGGAGAGGAATGCACCGTCGGGTCGTTCTGGCGGGGGGCGCGCAGCGAAGTGGAGACGGGGAGACGGCCCCAACAGCGCCAAACGCCAGAAAAGCGGACGCAGACAGACAAACACACACAACAGACTAACAACAGCACGCTCAGCACCAACAAAAAACGCCTCAACCAAATCTACAAGTGCACATATATGTAAAGAGGGTACATATATCTATATATGATACATATATCTATATGCTCAGCCCCCCCCCAGCACCCCGCCCTCATCATCCTCTTCTTCCTCCGCGCCCTCATCTTCCTCATCTTCCTCATCATTCGCATCATATTATTCTTCATCATCATCATCATCCTCATCATCATTTTCCTCATATTCTTATTTACCCTCTTTATTCTCATCCTCCTGATCCTCATCATCCTGCTCGTCCTCCTCCTCCTACTCCTCCTCTTCATCATCTTCTTTCTCATCCTCCTCCTACCCCATTCACCCTCCTCCCTCCTCAGTTTCCTTGTCCGCCTCCTCATCCTCATATTCCTCCCCCTCCCCCGCCTCAGCCTAACTGGGTGCAACCATCCGTAGTTTGTCATGAATCGAGTGGTTGTTTTTTTGTCTGCTACTTCTCTCCCCAGCGCTGGCGCCACAGCACGCCATGCCAGCTGCATCAGCGAAGGCCGTGAAGACTAAAACCGACAGGTGTCGCGATCGAAAGCGCGCCAAGTCCTTGAAGAACTGGATCGCCAAGCCGTGGGTCAAGCAGTACCTGAGGGGGGCTGCGCAGAACCACCTGCGGAAATACCACGAGACGTGCGCAGATTTGCGGGGCGAGAAGGCCGCCCTCGCTCAACAGGTCAAGCGCCAGCGCAAGGACCTTTTCAACATGCGTCGCGATGTCTTCGTGGCCCAGGTGTCGGGGTGGACTAGAAAAACTTCCTTGGCCCTTAGGCGCATAGCCACAGCAACGTAACAGGCGAACAACGACGTTGCACCGCCCAATACACCACGTCACCAACGGATGACAACCGCAAGCCATTAGCAACGCGCAATAGCGCAACCACAATATTAAACACACACACACCACCACCAAACAACAGCAACATCACCAACAACAATACAATGCACAACAGAACCCCACCCAGCGCGCAGCCGAGAACAACCAGCGCGCAGCCGAGAAGAACCAGAAGGCTTTCCAGAAGGCCAAGAGAAAGAACGACAAGCTGGAGCACCCGGTCGAGGAAACGGCGCGCTCGAGGCACGGCGGCGCGCCTGAAGGAAGCGAGCAAGGGCTGGCCTTCTAGACAACCAGGAAGCGAGCTTTTGACCAGACCAAAAAAAACAAACAAAAAACTAAAACGCTGCCTGCGAGGGTCGTCTTTGGGCCTCTTGGAGGTCCTCCACGCGACCCCTCGGAAGCGGTTTCCCCAGCGGGCCAGCTCTTGCCCCGCTCGCCCTCCTTTCGGCGCCTCGCCGAAAAAGGCGGCAGGCGCAGAAGGCCAGAGCCCAGGGCAAGGCGGAGGGCGCGGCCGCGGCCACGCAGGAGGGGGCGAAGGAGCGCAAGCGCCTTGAGCAAGCCCTTTCTGAGAAGCAGGCTTGGCTTTGGAACAACTACACCGTTCAACGCCGACGAACTTCGGCGCTCGCCCAGGCGCGCTCCTGGGAGGGCGCGGCCAAGTCCGTCGGCCTTCAATGTGCACCCCCATCCAAGGTCAAGCGTTCTTCTCCGAATTGTCAGGCTAAGTACAACAACCCCTTGTCGCAGAAGTGCCGCTTCATCGCTCTGGCCACGGTCGCGCAGCGGGAGAAGTACTTCGAACTGGCGAAGATGGCTCGGAGGAGCATCCGTGACGGGTGCTTCGGCGACCAGTAGGCTGGCTGCCGCCGCTAATGCCGAATCCGGTTGCAAGGCGAGAAAACGAGCACAACTCAAAAGACCGCTGCTGGGGCCAGACCCAGTGACGGCGAGAGGGGCATCCTGTTTTGGATGCCCCTTCCAGGGAATCCCGAGACGACTGGCGAGGCCACCGCCCCCCTCCGCCAGACCACGCCAAGACGGCTCAAGGAGCTTCGGAGACCGCTCCAAGACGACCCGAGAGGCCTCCAAGACGGTCCTAGGCGGCTCCGATTAGAAGCAACGAAACACGGCAGGGCAACACGCAACATCAAACCAACGAGAAATGTCAGCACGAAGCAGCAACTCAATCTTAACGCAGATCATTGGATAAACAAGTGTGCGCGTGTGTGTCTCGTAAGCGAAAAGGGGGTCCAGCTTCTAGGATGCCCGCGTTGGGGCAGACATCGCAAACGCAATAACATCACATGCACATGGGTCAATAAACGCTAGCATTGCTCAAGGAAAACGGGCCACCAGCGTGCTTGACACGTATACACAAAGCACATGCACGCGCAGCGATGCCGACAGCGAAAACCCACAGACACTACATTGGCACGCGCACGTGTTCACCGTGAGTCACCATCTCGATCTGTCGCAGTCGTGACCGTCGTCGCGTCGTCGTCGCCGACCCTACTTCGGAGCCCTTGCCCAACCCCCCATCCACCTCTCGTTGCCGCTAGCGCTCAGGCCTCTGCAGGGTGCTCAGACCCCCAGAGTTCTCCGCGGCAGGCCTCTACCATGGCTTTCGAATACGCTTTCGTGCCGCGCGGCATGCATGGCCACGTCGGCCACGTTCTGCCGCCCGACGCGGCGTGGCGCAGGGTGGGGCGCACGCAGGCTCAGCGCTTGGCTGCTGGCGAGGACTCGAGCGCGGGGGGTATTTCAGTTTTTGGAGGGCCCCTCCCCCGCCACAGACCATCTCCTGATTTCGGCAATGAGGAAGCACGTTTTCTTGTGCCCCAGGATCGGTTCAACGTGTGCGCGTGGCCCACGAACATTGAAGTGCGGGACAGCGGCAACCCGTTCTTTGCTCCCGGCTTCCACGGCAATTTGTGGGAGTCAAACGATCTCGTTTTCGATTACGTCATCGTCCGCCCGCACGTGTACGCCGAGGTTGTGGCCACTTGCGTCGGCCACGACGATCGCGCGCTCGCCTCGCCGGCCGCGATCGCGAGATCTTGCCCCGTCTGCGATCTGCCCGATGGGTCTGACGCGGGCAGTTGCAGATCGACGATGCTCGTCGTGATCTGCCGGATCGATCTGCCGCGGATAGTGGCTTGCATATCTGCGATGCGCGATGTCGCCCTGCGGTGGGCACTGAGGACCGCACGTGCATCGTGACGTTCACGTGCCGCGATTTCCCAGGATGGACCCATGCGGCGGAGGCGCCGTGGTCGACAACCTGGGGGCTCATGGAGAGGATGGTGATGGCGTCGCTTTCGTTGCCCCGCCACCGCGATGTGCTGCTCGATGCCGGCGGCGACCAGCCCTCCAACCGAATGCACGTGGGCCCGTCGTTCGGCCTGCGCGCGTCGGCGCGCCGCCGTCTCTGAGGCGAGGGCAAGTAGCGCGGGCGCGGCGCGCGCCGCGCACGCTCGCAGCACCCTGTGCTATCGTTTTGAGATCACATCGAGATTGCGCCCGCATGTTCCCAGTAAAACATGAGATCAGCCAAGGCGACAGTCCTTCCCAAATGCTCTCGCAGACAGGGGACGCTCACTTTGACCGCCGTTTCTCGTGATCGCCCCGACGCGCTTGCGTCTCCCGCCCCGCATCAGCAGCCGCGCACATTTAGGCCCAAGCTTACTCGCTATTCGCCAGGCTCGCCCGACTTCTCGCGCACCGCCACGCCCCCGCCATGCCGAGGGCGCTTCCGATGGAGGCCGCGAACCCCCCCGCGCGCGGCATGAAGTCCCTGGGGGTGTCCATGGAGCAAGACGGCCACACCAACGACGTTATGGTGGCGGCCTGGAACAAGGCGAAGTCTATGCCTGTCTTCGAAATCCGCGCGAAGCCTGAGGTGGATGGCTACGTGGACAGAGCGGGCACTTCGACCGTCTGGGACCTCCCCATCGAGCAGTGGAACTTCTCGGCGAGGCGCCCCATCAAGGGTTTCATCGACGTCATCATGAGCAAGGAAGACCTCTCGGGCGTCAACTGGGACGCTGTCAAGGATGCAATGGCTGAGCGGCGGTACAACGCCATGCCCCCACCCCTCGGCATTTCTGATGCAGGCCAGAGCGACGCCCCTTGCGTGATGAGCATGCATGTGTCGAAGTCCTTGACACACGGCGACTACCTGATTGTGAAGGTGTTCACTTTTCTTGGCGGCGGCGAGCCGATGGCGGCGGTCCGCGACAAGATTGTCGTAGGCGACCCGCGCGTCTTGGACTACCGCCCCGATACCTTCAACACGGTTCGGACGTTGCAGGTGTTATTGGAGGACATGGGCGGGTTGTTGTTCCGCTACTGGCAGGTGCCGAAGGCCAAGGTAGCCGCGGACGCCGACGCGGGCGAGGCCGCGGAGAAGAAGGCTGCCCTGGACAAAGCGTGGGACTTCGTGCAGGCCGAGGCCCCCCGCGGAAATTTTGACGGTCAGAGGCTGTTGTGGGTGGAGCACCAATTCGTCGACCCTGAATCGCCTCTTTACAACATGAAGCGGGAGTTCGTGAACAGCCTTCTGAAGTGCATCTCAGACCGCGACCACTTCGCGGTCAAGGAGGACTACTACCCTCTCCTGAAGTCTGACATCCGCAAGGAACACCAGCCGATGGCAAACAGGATCTTGCAGACGCTGGCGGGCAACACGCTGCTCACGATAGGGGAGGCTGGCTTCGGTAAGACGCCGTTCATGTATATCCTCGCCATGGCGACTGCGAGGCACAATGCAGACGTCGCTAATGAACGCCGCCCAGGTCGTGCCACGGCTGCTGTTCGGGTTTCCGCAGAGATGGACTTCTTCCGCGGGGAGGTCGGGGAACCCTGGGCGCCGTGCATCTTCGACGACGGCGACCTCGCGGATCAACGGCCTCGTGTCCTCAAGGCTTTCTTTGACCCCACGCAGGCTGAGGCCATGACCTACGTGCGCTGGGGGGCCGCGAAGTTCGTGCGCGGCCAAGCGTGGCGGCTGGCGAAGTCGAAACGTCGGGACTGCCAGGTTTCCTAAGTTTGACTGTCAGGTTCTGTTGTATTTTCTCTGAGAAAAACGAATCCAGGGCGTCGGTCGGCCCCGCGCTTCGTCTTTGCCCAGGTTTGGCGGGGACAACGAATACAATTCGAACGCCGTGCCAACAGACGAGCAGCGGGCGTTCGCGGCGACGTCACCCGACGCTGCAAAGCGGACAGCTGTCATCTTGGTCGACATGATTCGGCCCGCGTTCCCCAAAGGCTTGTCCGAGAGCAACGTGGGGGCCATGCTCAAGCGGTGCAACGTCGCCCTGAACACAGCGGAATCTTTCTTCTTCAGGCCCGCTGGCAAGGACTCGGTCGTTGAGAAGCTGCCCCTCATGAGCAGCTACATCACGGCCGAGGCGGGCAAGATCCTGATGCGGTTCCTCAAGCACAAGAAGCGCCGCGACCAGGAGGAGCACGACAGGCCCCTCGCCTTTGAGAAGAAGGAGGTGCTCCAGCTCATGGCCGAGTCGCGCGCAGCAGCGGGCGCGGGCGACGGCGGCGGGGACGGCGCCGATGGCGCCGCCGCCGCGAGCGGCGCCCCAGCCGGCGCCGCGGCGCCGCGGGAGGCAGGCGTGGCGGGCGGCGTGGAGACCGCGCCCAACGACGGCGGGATGTCCGACCGCGGCGGCGCCGGCGCCGACGCGCGAGCCGTCTCCGCGGACGAGGAGGACGCGTTCGGTTTCGGCGGCGGCATGGGGGAGCCCGAGCCGACGCCCCCAGACAGCTGACGGCCGCGCGGGACGCCCACGTGAAGGAGATCATCAACGCCGAGGCCAACACGCTCATGATGGCGCCGTGGCAGGCGGGTGCTGCTCCTGGATCGAGCGGCGACGGGTGGGCGCCGAGTGGCGCGGCTGCGCCCGCGGACCCCGCACCCGCCAAGCAGCCCCCGATCGTCGGCTGCCACGGTGCGCTCTCGGATGAGGACCATCGGGAGCAGGTGGCGATCTTTCGCAGCCTAGCCAAAGCCCACCACGGCGCGCACGAGGACCTGGTCACTCCGCCGCGGAAGACCAGGAAGACGGGTCTGGCCTGCGGCGGGCCGCTCTCCCCCGTGGACATCCAGGAGCAGCAGGCGATTTTCGCATCCATGGTGGCGCAGGCACACGGCGAGACCCTCGTGGTGGACGACGATGGCGTCGACTTGGATGCCGAAATGGAGACGCTCCTCGATAGCATCGAGGCGGAGCGCGTTGGCGGCGCGAGCCAGCTTCCGGGTGACCAGACGGACTGATCCAGCGGTAGCTGGCCTGGCAAGTGACGCGGGAACGCACAGACGAAAGGTGCGCGGCGACGCATATTGTTTCTGACGGCTGGAGCGAGATGATATGAATGCATTGATGTATATGCTTGTTCGCTTTCCAGATGTAGATGCCTTCCGCGTTGCGATATGTTGGGCGAGTGACATAGGAATGCCCATGCGAAATGTGCGCGGATACGCATATTGTTTACGAGGGTTGTAAACTGTGCGAAACAGCATCATCCTCAGCGGGTTATGTGGGCGATCGCACGTGTAGTCTTCAACCCGCCGTCTTCCACTGCCACCACTCGGTCGATTCGAACCCTGTCGTTCTTGGCTCAAGTGTGAGAAAGCCACCGCCCCGCGCGCGTCGCCCATGGGTAAGCCATGGCCAGTCGCCAAGCGCGGAAAGGCTCGCATGGCCATGCGGCCCGTGCCCATGAAGAAGGCGAAGAAGAGCTCACTCCTGCGCAAACCGAAGACCGCCCCATACACGCGCCACGGGACTTCCTCGGTCAGGTCGCGCCTCGACAGGGCAGCATGGGCTCGGTGCTTGAAGGACTTCGTGAACGCGACGACCAAGCAGGTGATCGACCGCTTGAAGAAGGACAAGGTCTTGCCTGAGTGGAAGGGCGCGAAGTGCCCCTACTGCCAGATCGGCAAGCTGGGCCCCTTGAAAGACCATGGCAAGAAGAAGGGCGGGTGGACCCACAAATGCTCGAGCGACTGCTGCCGACGCTTCCTCATGCCGCATGCCTTCCACCCTATCTTCAGATGCGGCACGGGGTCGTCGGGGGGGCGCTTGGCGGACCAGGCCGCCGCGCTGTTCTGCGCCGTGGCCCAGTGCTCGCAGACGTCCGCCCGCCTCTTGTTGAAGAACAACCACAAGATGACAGAGGGCATTGACCCTGCGCTGCATGCAGCAGGCGCCAAGTACGTCAACTCCCACGAGAAGAACATCTCCTGTGGCCATGACCAGGACGGCAACGCGCTCGAGTGGGCGGACGCGGAGGCGGACGAGGTCGACGTGGCGAAGGGCGAGGACCCGAACGCTGGCCCCCGCACGCAGAAGCCCATCATCTGGGAGCAGCGGGGCGGCATCGTGCAGCGGGGGAACCCCTGGTCCATGGTCCTCTTCAGGTTGAAGCCAGAGAAGGCCTAGCGTAGGGCGCCTGGCCCTGGCCCGATTCGGAAGAGGGATTGGGCGCCCATGGCGTCCAGGTGGCTAAAGCACCGCCGCGTCATCCTCCACGCGGACGGGGCGAGGTCCTACAATATGAAAGTCGATGGCGTCTTGCACGACTGGGTCGTGCACAAGAAGAAAAGGGTGCGGGTTGGCGGGAAGTGGGCGCGGCTGAAGCCGGCATTCACGAAGATCCGCTACCACGACGTCCCTGACCAGAGCAAGCCCAGCGGGACGAAGCGCTTGTGGGTGAAGTGCGGCACCCAGGTGATCGACCGCGCGTGGGGCGACCTGCGCAAGGCGGTCGGCAAGGGCATTGCGAAGACGGTGGGGTCTGTCCTTCTCCGCAACAAGGCAGGCCAGATGAATGACGTGCAACGCGTTTGTTCGCGTAGGCGCTGTCTCCTCAATCTTCAGTGCAGCTGAACGCCGCCCCAGGGGGGTGGGAGGTGTTGCCCGGCGTGGGAAAGGTTGGCGGGTGGCATGCCCTGAGGTTTGGAGAGGCGGCCCAGCGCGACATGCGCAGTTGCTGCTCGCTCTCTGGCCTATGCAAGGTGCGCTCCTTCCAGTGGACGTACTGGAACCGCGGCAGCGATCTCTGGCTCGCTACTGGCCAGATGCTCCGCGACGCGTGGGCCAAGGACCACGCTCAGTGAGCTCTCTCGCTGACGCAGCCGAGCCCGCTTGGAGATCGGCGCGCAGGAGCAGCCAGGTGGCCAGGCGGAGTGATCTAGTGGCGACAGGCTTGGCGTTCGGAGTGATAGTGGCCAGGCGTACGGCGCGCGTTTGCGTTTGTTGTCTATTTCGCTTGGGCCGAGTTAGTTCTTGAGACCAGACGTGTGTTCACATTGCCCCTCTTCATATAGATGCCACCCGCGTTGCGATATGTCGGGCGAATGATATGGCAATGCCCAGGCGAAATGTGCGCGGATCCACATACTGTTTGCGATCGTAGTGAAGTGAGCTGAACATCATCATCTTCAGCTGTGCGCGGGCGCTATCGCGCGCTTCGCCAGCGCGCACTTGCGCGCAGGAAGAGGAAGAACAGACGGAGGAGGAGTGAGAGGAGGAGGAGGAGGAGGAGGAGGAGGAGGAGGAGGAGGAGGGGGAGGAGGAGGAGGAGGAGCAACAGCAGCAGCATGGCCACGAAACCATGCTATTCACAGGTTTGTTTGGTTTTTTTGGTCAGGGATACCACCAAACCCTGTTATTCACATGTTTGTTGTGTTTTTTGGGGTTTCCAGAGATCCACAAACATGGCCAGGAGGTGTGAACAGCAGTGTTCGGCAGGATCGTGGCCACCAAACCATG